AGTGAAACTAATTTTAAATATATAAATGAAATTTATTCATTATCATTATTTATCAGATAATATTTTCTTCTCACTAACTACAGTAGAAAAAATACTGAAAACATTTTTATTAAAAATGTAATTATAAAATTAAGTGCATTACATCTATATTTATATATATCTATATATTAACTCAAAAAGTAAAAGAGATAAATAGACTTTGGTAACAATGTCCATTTATAAATGGATAAAGGTAACAATCTAGCGCTATTGCTGCTAAGACTATAAATTTAAATTCAATTAATAACTTCTCATTTATGACTATCGCTTATGAAATTAAAGAGTAAATTGAATCTGCTAGTATAATTGAATCTGCTTAAATTGTTTAAAAGTTAATATTTAAGAAGATTTAAAAAGCTGTTAAACATGTAATAGACCTTGAAGAATATAAAGTCAATCAATTAAAAATCAAAGTAAAAAAAAAAAAAATCTGAAATGTTTCAGATTTTCCAGATTTTAAATTCCAAAGGGGCGTTTTTTTTAACATTTGTGTGTTACCTTTCTTTATTAATATCATGTTCCTCGCACTTAAACCATAAGATCCAGTGCAAACAGCAATATCGCAAAAATTTTTAAAACGAGTATATCTTTAGAATTTTCCGATACAGAGACTCACGCGCTGGAGAAAAAATGTTTTTTCTGCACAACGTGACATTGCTCGTTGAAATCCTTGAGTTTTAATCAAAATTCGAGTTTTAAAAAATAGGAAACGATTAAAACAAATTTCAAATTTCCTTTGCTCATAGTTTGTTTTAAAAATTCGTCGAATCATAAAAAATTTCAAACAAATTTCCAAACAAAATTCTTCCGTTATGCCACAATTTGACGCTATTCGTTTTACTCTATGTACTTGTACCAAATTCATATAATGCAATCACAATACGAGAAATTACACATATGCAGATTTTCAATTAATTTCTTCAATATAAGCAGACTCTAACATTTTGTGGCAACAGTTTGAAAAGTGAACCGACATTTATGAGTCCGACGCAAAATGCCAAAACGAAACTTAATAGTCCTTCGGGATTCAAATCCCTTTGGACTAAAAATATTAAAAATCAGAAGATAATTAAAATAAAGTTACATGTTGTTGATTTCGTGGAAGAAAGCTGCCTTCAAGGAGTCGTCAATAATTGCGTCTGCTTGTATTTCGTCTCCTTATTTCAATGAATTCTTTAAGCTTGTGAAAAATATCTGACTTTTGGTTTTAAATTATTAGTTTTAAAACATAGGAAGAAAATTCCCCAACACGATCAAAGGGACTTATTTACAAAATGTGTTTTAAATAAAGGAGGAAAAGAGTGCCCACAAACACGTACATACACAAACGCATATAACATATGTCACCGTGAAAGACCGAAATTGGAGAATGTCGACTTTCACCGGAGAATATCAACATTCACCAAATACGTCGGTGAAAGACCGAATATTTCACTACATTCTTGCATATTCTGACTCTCACCGGTGTATGTCACATCACAGATATACTCTGGTGAAAATCGAAAAGAGAGGTCATAAAGTTGAAATAGTTTAAGTTGTTGCAATAATAAGATTTGAACACATAATTTAGTAAGTTTTTTATACCGTTATTTTATTTCTCATTTAGAACGTTCTGTATAATTAAGTAAATTTTTAACTTCTATTTTTTCCTTTCTCATTTTAAAATGTATTGTGTGTTTTAGGTTCTCATGTTCTTAATTCTAATTTAAGTTTCAAGAGCGTTATTCGCGACTGAATTACGGAGAAAAAATTAATATTGTTATATGTTCAACATTCACCATTAGTGAATGTCGACATTGACCGGTGTAGTCAGAAATAAGAGTATTTGGAAAATATTTCGGACATACACCGAGACTATGTGAATGTTGACCACTGGTAAAAGTCGACATTCTCCACATTCGGGGCTTCACCGGAACATATTTTTATATATATATATATATATATAATTAAAGTTGTAAGAACAAACGAAAAAAAGACCATTTTGGCCAAAATTTTGCGCATTGTGCTGCAAATTAGGAAGTAGAAGATAAATTTAGTACGCACGCCAAAAGTTAGAAAAAACTGTGGCTCCGTGAAACTTCAACAAAGCATATTTAGTTGCTATGAAATGTGTGAAAGAGGAGAAAAATACAATATTTGAATTTACAAGTAAAATTAATAAAAAGTAAACTATATGCTAAACGAATTAAGTAATTTTTAACACAGTAAAAAAACAAATCAATTGAACGAGGTATAAAAATAATAAGCATATGCAAACGAATAACGAGATTTTAAAACACAGTAAATACTAATCATTGATCAGGTAAAATATATATATATAATATATATATTTGTAAGGATCCTAAGTTTTTACTAACGTTCATTTTTTTTAAAACTGTACTATCACTTCTTATTTTCTACTTCGGCCAGAATTAAATGCTTTAACTTGTTTATGCAAATTGTTGCTAACGCCCAAGTATTTAAATTGTGCCTTTTTGCCAAGAGTTAGAGAGAGAAGGAGATTTAGGAAGCAAGCCGCTTGCCACTGCATTTCTACGAGTCTTTACTCAGTTGCTGGTTGCCTTTAAAAGGCCAGAGGTTTAGCCCTCTTGATATTTGAAAACGTATTGTAGTTTCAGCAGCTCGGCGTACTACATACGTACCTTTTTAAATAAAGGCCAATCTTAGTGCTAGTCTTTTGTATACTAATTCAAAGTTAGCTTTCAGTTAGAGTTTTAGTTAGTAGTTTTATATTCTTACGTTCAGACCACAAGTGGTCGGTCTCTGTATCCCGAAGTTCGGGACTACTTGTAAAGTATTGAAAATAAAGGGTTTCGTATACCCTTCTCTCTTGTGTCGTCTGTTACACACAAATATTGAACATAACTTGAGTACGCTCCCTGTTCCAACTCAGAACAGATCCTGTTTCCAAAGCAAATCAAGAGGCACACAAGTCCTGACAATATATATATATATATATATATATATGATTATATTGTTTAAATACAATGGTAAACCATCTCAGCATATTTATGCACGTATAGATAATGATGCAGATTATCATTGTACTTATACTCAAAATGATACTGATAACCTTTCTATCAAAATGATACTGATAACAAGTTCGAATATTCCTGATTCGCAAATGCACAACTTACGTGGATTTATTCTCTTACTTTTACCATATTTCAAATACCTTTTTTATGTAAAACAAGTTATTGAAACTAAAAAATCATTGAGTAATCTGTGCTTAACGATTCGCATGATGTAATAATTAAAATTTTCAAGGAACTTTCGGGTTTGTATTGAATTAATGTATGATTTACTTAAATAGAATTCAAGAGTATCATTTAATGAAACTAAAATGAATAGTAAAAGATGAATAAGAATGTTTTAAATCCCTATTATTAAATTATAAATAATTTGCATGCATGGATGTTCATATGTTTGTTCATGCCTCCGGGGAAAACCACATAATTCTCTACCCAACACTGAGCACTTGGAAGCCAAAATTTGAATTCTTTTTTTACTTATTTTACGTTTAATGCGAGTTCAAAGTAATTTTGATTAGCAAATTAAGTGATTGAAAAACAAAGTTTTCCACCTGTCAAAGTGTAAGATGTTAAAGTTTCAAATTTATCCAGAAGACTCAATGATTTAAAAGAAATGGATTGGCACTGTTCAAAATAAACTATTTTTATCTTTTACGCGCTAGCTGTTACTAGGCAAAGCTTATTGTATATAAATTTTTTTTTTTTTTTTTTTTTTTTTTTAAGATTTAATCTGTTCGTTACTGATAAAAAAACTAAGCAATTTAAAAGCAATAAACATATTTCTTCACATGTGTGATTATTAATTACTAACTGGATTCGCGAAATTATGTTAGTTTCCCTCATTAAAATCATTAATATTTATTCTTTTTTACAACATCGATTTTAGATGCGAAATGAGAATATCCGAACTCCTTTTTCTGCTCTAAAGTCTAAATCACGTCTCAGTAAATATTTTTAGATATATGTTATGTCAAACAGTTATCATTTTAATCAAATAATTATTATTACTAAATTTACATCATGAATATTAAATGGATAAAGATTATTAGTAGTTGTACAAATATCACAACAGAAATGTCGATATCATTTACACTCATTTTAATCTTTTGGGAGGATTTTCCTCTTTTAGAGTACGTTATTGAATTTTATTTTGTACGTTTTTTAGCTTTCTGATCCCTTTCATAACTCCACAATATATTTAAATATTTATAATTTTTATATTTTTCCAATTTTTGAATAAAAAATTTAAATTTATAAGAACAATGCATTTTAAACTGCAGTACTGACAACCAGAAGTTCTCAGTTCTTAAAGCATTCCTGGTAGTATGGTCCGTACTTCGAATCCCGTTGAACAAAATATATTCCAAAATATGAATGGACTGGTTGCATCGATGTTTTCGTGTTTCCCCTTGTGTAACATGTACACGAGCTAGTTTTCCTAAATGTCCCTTTCTCAGCCAGATAGTCCTGATGCGCTTTATTACGAACAGTGTTGCTACTGCTTGCTTTCAAATCGTTAAATTTGTTCATAAAACTTCATTAATCTACGTACCGTCGTTTTCTTATAATACGAGGAACATGCATACATACATGCAGATTCTTCATAATTTAATTTCTTTAAAAATAATACAAAAAAAGTTTCCCAGAAAAATGATCATTCCTAATTTCTTATTGAAATTGCGTAGACGTCTACACATGGCAACAGCATAACTACGCTACATCCATAAGTTAACAAACAGTGTCTCAAGCAATGATTGGCGAAATCATTTGTTTTGTGCGATAAAATGTCCTAGATCTTAATTTAAACTAGATTTATCATATGTTAAGTGCAATTAATATTCCATTAATCTGAGCAGACATTAGACTGCAATGCAATAAATGTTTCTATTTAAAAAAAAATCACATTTATCTTGGACCTTTATTTCGCAGCTGGATCAACTTCTAAGCTGCGTCAAACTGGCTTCAGAGAGGTATGGTAAGGAACTAGTACACGATGAGCATCTTTTCATAATTACTCATCAAGGTAAGTTCTAGAAACTACATTTATTATACTTAAGCAAATGTTAAAATTATATGTAAACTATCATAATTAATTCCTTCTGAAAAGGTTTTGATTTCTTAATGTATTTAAATTCTTCATATAAGCATTTAAAAACAAGTGATGCAAACTTTTTGAGCGGCATATGTAGAGTCCTTAGGTTCGGGCACCTCTCCAAAGTATTTAGTGCCCTGAGCGAACGTTTTATGGCGTCCATCCCTTTGTACATGTCATGTATTGGTACATATGCTTAACCCTCGATAGGGTCAAAGTACACAAGTATTTTTTTCGATGAAATCTATATCTAATATGCAGCAGAATACAAAAAATCGTATGGGGTTAAAAATGGTAGATGACATAATCTTAATGGGGTTTAGCCGCTTGTGATGCTTTCGGTTAGTTTTTAATTCTCTTTCTTTTCTACTGTTTTCAATTCGAGAGTCATCGCGAAAACATTTTCAAATTAATCAGCAAGTATTGGCCCAGGCTCCTCACCCTTCGAGCCAACTCTGATTACGTTCGTCAGAGCAGAAGAGATTAAAAAATCAGCGATGCCCTCGCCGAGATTCGAACTTCAAATCTTCTGGTGCTACCCGGACGTGCTTTCCAATTACATTGTAAAGGTATGCGGTAAGAAGGTAGAAGGTAACTTATATCTTACTGGGTAATCTCAGATAGCTTCGTTTTTCCAACAGAGAATTGCCAATCGTACACTTACTTACAACACTGGATACTAATTAGCAGAAAACTTGATCGCATGCAAATTTAACATTTTTACGCTGTACACTTCATAGCTAAGGTACTCAGGTATAAAAGGATCCATGGAGTAATTTTCCATGTAACTGAATTATAATCACATTTTATCATTAATGTAATTATTTATTTGGGAATCATTTTATCTATCATTTTCTGTATTTATATATCATTTTACATTAACTTACATGTAAGTTTTCATAACTATAAGAGATCATAAATTTAAGGGACCATTCTGTATTTATGAAATAAAACTATTGCTATTCAATCATTCACCCATGAAAAACCACTGTATATTCTCAAATACAATACAATATAGGACGCAATTTTAAAGTATTTATTGCACTTCTTTATTATTGCATTTGTTTGATGACACAAGAAAATCCCCACTTGTGCACATTATTCGTTATTTTCTAGTGCAAAATTATAGAATACAGCAATAATATTTAGTTTGCATCCAGCAATACAAATTCAGTTGTTTGAACAACCACTAAAAGGAAGACAAAATACTCGTAAATTCGGTAGTTTATAAGTTGTTCCGTTTATATAAAACTGTTACATACTTGAATGAAATGCTTCTTACAAATGAAATGTCCACATCTGAAACATTTTACAGGACTTTTGTTGTCAGCCTATGGGCATAGACGACATCTTCCTCTTTTGCCAGTAATTGATATACTTCTAGATGCTTCAGGTTGTCCTGAGTTTCGAATGTTGTCCTCGCAGATAATCTCCTACTCCAAAGTGGTAGGTAATCAAAGCCAAGCCAAGCTCTTCAATGAAGATTCTCGTTTTGTGAAATGAGTTCATCTTCTTTGCTGGATTGATCCTGATAAACAATACGAATGCATTATGCGAGGAAAGGTCTATGTCAAGGGTGGCCAACCTTTTTGGAAAGAGTGCCAATATCTGAAAAAAAAAAGTTATACGTGCCATCTCACACTTTTCCAATACACTACAAAAATATAAAAAGGTGGGGAAAAAGTGTTATTTATAGGCTTATTATGGAAATTTTACACAAATAGCACATTTTATGTAAATCTCTCTGAGAAGGGGGATAGTTAAAAACTAATATAATAAATAATATAATAAACGAAACAAACGTGCAGTCTAAGGCTTTATTGCTAATAAATATTTTTAAAGGTTCAGTCAGTTAGGTTATGTATAAAATAAAAATGAATAATTTGAAACATTCAGTTCTAAATAACTATTAAACAGTCAATACTTAATTAATGGGGGCGTTTGAATGTGTTAGATTTTTTTTTTTTATCAAATCGTCTATATTAGGAGTAGTTCTTGAAGATATTAATGAAATTTGACGTTTTAGGTTCATAGCAGTTAATCTTGAAAGATATTTTGATTTTATTATGTTCATAATAGAAAACATTTGTTCACAAACATATGTTGATCCAAACCTACAACAGTATCTGAGAGCCAAATCGGGTAATTTTTTAAAATTGCTTATTGGTACAAATTCCAAAATTCAATATAATTTGGATCACTTGCACTTGAAATAAGTTCCTTATACTTGTTTTTCAGTGTAGTATGCTCTTGCAGATCAATAATTTTGATTTGGATTTTAGTTGAGTAACAATTAACGTCTTGTATAGAAAATATATTTATTCTAATGTGTGTACTTTGTGTATCTAGAGATGCAGTTGATACAGATGATATGATTATTTTTTTCAAACTTTTAATTCAATGAGTCTTCACTTGCCACTCTTAAAACTCCGCCATGCCACACTGTGGCACGCATGCCTCGGGTTGGCCGTACCTGGTTTAGGATGTTATAGGAAGCTACGATAGGCAATCTGTGTGTTTTTCTCCGACAAGAACAGTGGACGTCCAATTTATCAATGTGTTTACTCATTCTTTGTTGCTGTTAGAATCCAGAACTATTTGAGGCTTCTTTGTGTCTTTGATTGTTGATCTTTTTTTGTCGGTGAAGAGTGTTCAGGAAGACTATGCTCTTGCCTCATATCAGAAAAGTCATATCCTTCATGAATGTAAATGTCGATGTGTATATTGGAGCTCTTTTTGCAAGCAATTGCGGAGGAGCTATTAACTTATTCTTCCTGACTGTTTCAAGCATTGACACTTTTTTGTATTCAAAAGAAATTGTCGAAGATCATAAGGCATGGGAAAGTTATCGTATATAAGATTACGTCCTTTCAAGCCTTGAACGAGAGTTCCAGACATAACTGGAAACGTTATAACAAAGTACCCAAAACTTTATTCTGTACTCAGTTTGGTTGTTTAGCACGTATTGACGGGAAGAATATCTTCCTCGAAAAGCTACCTGTTGTTCATTCACAGCGACATACATTTCAGGATTATGAAACATTAGAAAATTTCCACCCATTTACCCCACAGTTCTTTTGTGGCTATAAATTTGTCAGTTTCAATCTTCGTGTTCAGGTGTGTCTGTCATGAAATCGAAGAACCTTCGATGTCATTTTAAATTTTTCAAAGGAAATATTTGCTGTGAAGATATTCTGTCTCATTGTGGCATCCAAAGATTCTCTCTGGACTTTTTAAAAGAAGTCAACATTATTCAGATTTTTCTATCTGTCATTGAATCCTTTTTTTTTCTTTTAAAATACTATTTTTAGTATGATATTCACTATTACTGAAGGAAAGAAAATAACATAAATGCAGAGCATTCGTCTTCAGTTCTTGATATGGAGTATTTCATCAGCTCTGGAATGATGTTCATAACATTTTCTGCCTTTTGTCTATCACATGATGCTTGTGGTTCTGATTTCCACTTGATTTTACCATCTTGGTTAAGCAAAGTCGCCGAATGACGCGTCGAATGGTCAGATTCGTTATCTCCGTTTTCATTGGATTATGATTCTTTTTCAGAAATGTGATCGTTTATTTCTTATACAGTTTAAGCAACAATTATTCAATTTCCATCCCCGAATGATGAACCATACCGTAGGCTTTGGCGAGTTTCTAACAAAATGGTGTAAAAAATCAATTGTGAAAAGAACAACGCCCCTTTGCAAAGCGCGAAGAAATGTGCTGGGAGCCAATACGGTTACAGAAGCTAGCGATTCTTGAGGAAAACACAGCACTATTAGCTCAATCTATTTTACCAACAGAGAAAAAAATATATTACGGAAAATAATTATAGCATGAATTCGTTGTCACAAAAATAATAATCGTATTAAAAACCGCAGTTCTCATCTTTTTACGCACTAAACTTTTTACACGGGGCAAATTGACCCTAACGAATTTCTTGTTACAGTTTTCACTATCAGAATGCTACCACTTAAAAACAAACTTACTCATAATAAAATATTTAATATGACTCTCAAAACAAAGTCACGAAGTATTTTTAATGAATTTCTAAATATATAATAGATCTATACGAAATAAATTTTATATGGGTCAAAAAAGACCAGAGCATCCTAGGAAGGTTAAGCATAGAAATACAAAAAGCATTATGAGAAGCTTAAGGTAGCTAGACAGCTCATATATTCCTGGGCAAGTATTAGATATTAGCATAGTATTAGATGGATAAATATATTTCATTTTAACCAGTTGTTTTCTTCCTAATCATATTTCTGTTTTGCCTTTTTTCCAGCATATGAATTGTGGTTCAAACAAATAATATTTGAATTGAATTCTGTAAGGAAACTCTTTTCTAGCGAAGTAAGTTAAAAATATTGAAACTTCATTTTACGAAATTTTAAGGTAATAAGCATGAATTTTGTGAATGAAATACAACTTTCAATGAAATATTTTGTTAAATATTGAAGAAACAAATGTGATTTCCTATACGAAACTTACATTTTGTAAAAACCTTTCTGTATACATATCGCTTCTTTGAAAATCTAAAACATTTTTACATTATTAGATTAAAGTAAATGCATCAATAACAGGAAAAATAATTCAATTAAAAAAAGATAAATGGATCAGGTATTTTTGCATAGATTACGGAAGCTTAGCTTGCAAATTTAAATAGATCTAATCCTTTTCAAAAGTTAAATAATTTAAATAAATTTATCTTTGAAATCAGAATCAAAATATATATCTATTTAAGTAGTTTCCCAAGGAAATTTATATGTGTTTTATAGAAATATTGATTCTTAATACATTTTCTTGGCCATATGAAGTCCTTATTTTAAGTTTGCTGAAGTTTCTTTCAAGTTTGGATACAGTATCTAATATTGTTAAAGAATTCCTAACAAAATTTACAAATTTGTGTATGTATTTACTAAACTCTTTGAAATACTCGTGAGAGGTCCGATCATCAGCAGCCGAGTGGTAAAATCGATCAATATTGGTAGTTCGACGAAGGCTATCTGGCGAATAGCCGGCTGCTTAAGAATTTTTGTAGTTTTTTCTACTGTAACTTGAGAACAATCCAGTTTTCCTTAAAAGGCCGTGAAGGCATCCTTTTCACTAGGCAAGTAGATTAGCATGCTTTGTCATAATTCTAAAATAATCTTAATTCCTTTAAAAGGCTCTAAAGCTGTTTTAGTGTCAGGATCTTGAATTTTCAGTTGCTTTAGAGGTCGAAACTATTACAGTTTCATGGTTTATAAAACTGCTTATTTTTGATGAAATTTCAGTAGCATTTATTATATCATTTTTGTCACATGACATTACTTTTCACTAGACAGAAAGTGAGAAACATGATGCATAAAAACCATTTTAGTTATGAGGTTATGATTAAATTAACCAGTTATTTACAACTAAAAAAAATATCCGTTGTTCTAGGTATTATAAATTGTAATTAAAGTGATTTGTGCAAAGGTGTCTTGCTAATTCAAACTGAATTACCCAGGGCAGGCGGCGAGGACGCCCCTTTGCTTACTGCCCCACGGGGTTTCCCCCTTCTACTTGCTTATTTGCTTAAAGTAAAGTGCAATGAAGGAAACCACTGGCGGTACATTTCTTAACAGCCACCGCTAGTTCAATAAATAAAGGTGACTTAAATAATAAAATGTTAATTCACATGTCAAAGATCTCTGTACACAACATTTCTTGTGTAGATCTTTCCATCATTTTTAAGCTCGCTTTGCAGAGGACCATCCGTTATTTTTACGTTTACGTCCGTTCTTTAACGAACGTTGAACAGGCAACATAAAGTTGACCGTGCCCAAATGCAGGCTCAGGTGAAAAAATACCAACACGCTTAAGCGTTTAGCCCTGAGACTTATTGATGGTCATAGCAAAGGCAAGTTTTACAGAAAATTGTCTACGTCTCAATTGAAACGGCAACCCTGTGACGTGGCAACTTCACCCCATTGGCTAGTACAGTTACGCAAGCAACCAATAAACTATCGACGACAAACAGATACTTAAGCCGCATATAATAAAGATATTTACTTTTTTTTCCATCGTTGCCGATTTTTGCCGGTTGCATATTTCCGAATTCTATTATATATAGATGTTAAATTTATTTATTAAATGTTAAATGCACGTGCTCTTGTATTTTTAATTTTTTCTGCTCAGCTTTCTCATAATATTCGTCACGCGCTGCACTGCACGGGCAATAAAACAATTTACAGTATGCAAGCAACCAATAAACTATCGGCGACAAACACTTAAGCCACATGTACGAGTATAAGATATCGGTTTTTACTATAACTTCTCCTTTCTATTTCGTCATCAGAATGTAAACGAATTAGGTAGTATTTAAACTGATGTTTTGGGCTTGTAAGACAGAGCATATTTCTCGCCTGCATGTGCACGCTACGCTTAATTTCTGCTGGCTTTGATAGCTGTAATTTTCGACGTTGCGTTTTCGGTGCCGACAAATTTATTTTTACGCTCATTAGAATTACTGAGCTAAAGTAAGATACGTATAAACTGTGTAATTTTTTATTCTGTTACACGTTTTAATTTGAATTTAACTGTTTGATTTAGTTACACCACTACAAGTTGTGACTGATGTAATTAATACAAGAATGTGGATTTATGTTCTGAATTTTGTTTAAATAAAAAATTATTTAAACCTTTCCTTGACTTTTTAGTTATTCCAGATGTAGCTATAATTCGCTTTACGTCTATTGGGATTATTGAACTAATTGACCAAGAAGATCCTCATGTAGAAGATCAAGTAAAACCTCATATAGAGAAATAGTTTATTGTAACAAAATTAATAAAAAATAATATTAAAATAAAATTCATAAAACTGTAGAAACTGAAAAATATTATTCAGAAAAATGCGAAAATACCCTACACATGAATTTTCTTAAACAGAAAATGATAATAAATAAATACTAAAACAATTTTTTACAAAAATGATAAATGAATTTTAAAATACGATAAAAAATGTCATTTTTTATTTATAATGTTTCGTTCCCTTGCTGCCACAAATATCACTTCTATTTTCGATCTGTAATTCAACTACGAACAGAATTTTCTGTGAAATATATTTTTAAATTGCTTTGTTTAGTTGAAGCGAATGAGTTTCATTTTTATCCTAGCGTGTTTTAATACGAGATACTGTTTTTCTATAATACATTTGCAATAAACTGCTGCCACAATGAATTTATTTGTCTCGAAATCCTCAACCTTATTTCCTTTACATTGTGGCTCATGATATTCATGTAAAGTTAACACTGGAAACGTTTAACTTGCCTAAAATTCTCCAACACTGGTTCGAATTTCGTAAGTATAATGAATTTACAAATTCATAATTCTCCCTTTCTTCACTTTTAGCTTAAGTAAATAAATTATCCTTTACTCTCATGATTAAGTTTGTTCACCAGTGACTGCATGGCTAAGAGTGTTGAATTCTACTTCTAATTTAAAATGGGTTTCAAATCCCAATAAAAAGGCTCACTATATGAATTCTTTCGTACTTTTACTTATACATGGCATGAATCTGAGTCAATTTGTAAGGATCTTAAGTTTTACTAACGTTTATTTTATTTTAAATCTTTACTATCACTTCTTATTTTCTACTTCCGGCCAGAATTATAAGCGTTAATGTGTTGTGGCTTTTTGCCAAGCGAAAGAGAGGAAGCAGTTAGTCGAAGCAGGCCGCTTGCCTTAGAAGTTTTACTCAGTTGCTGGTTGCCTTCCAGGCCAGAGGTTTAATCCTCTTGATAATTTTTAAACGTATTGTAGTGTTCACAGTTCTCTGTACTACATACGGCTTCCTGTTATATAAGGCCATCTCTTTCCGCGTTTTTTTTTAAAGTTAAATTAGAGTTTAGTTTTATTTTTTATATTTTTACGTTAGACCACAAATAGCGGGTCTGTGTATTCCGAAGTACGGAAGTTATTGTAAATAGAGAAAAATAAAGGGTTTTGTATACCCTTCTTGTGTATCCTGTCTACTTCCCACAGTTTTGAACATAGCTTTAGTAAGCTCTCTGTTCCGAGTCAGGTCTTTGCATGTTTCCGAAGAAGGTAAGACGGAACATAGAACCTGATAAATTATCTTCAGAAAGTTCGCCTTAGAGAGATGATTTGTCGTATTTCTTAGCAACTAAACATTAAGTTCTCGACTATGAGTATTTTTCAATAAAGTTTATGATCTTCTTTGACCGAACGGAAGTGGGAACGTTGCTAGTTCGTCCCGAGTTAACTTTCCTTTTCCTACGTGTGACATGACAACACGTTAATTTTCTTTAGAAAATTCAGAATGCGTCCGTCCTAAGTAGTTGACAGCAAAACAATTTTTGCTTTGCTTAAAAAGCTATATAATATATTTTTATTAAGTGATTTATTGTTGTTCCATATTTCATCTCCACTTAATATTCATCGTCGACTGGCCCATATGGCTAAATACGTGAATTTTTTAAATTTTGATAGTTTGACTGTTTTATTCAAAACCTGGGTTGCAATAATACACTTCTATCTCTTTGAAGTTTCAGTTCTTGAAGTTTCTTAAGTAAAATCAGATTTTTTTCAGACGTTTTCTTTTTATATCAGTTGCCTAAGAATCAGCATAACAAAATTTTAAAATATGTTCTTTTATATCAATTATCTTATAATTAGTGGAATCGAGCTGAGCGTTTTGAAATAAATCCTTTTATTATCAGTTATCGTGTAGTTTGCGAGGATATTTATCTGAATTCTTCAGTGACAAATTTTAGGACTTTATTATTCTTTGATGTTGAAAACATTTTATTTTATTGCTTCATATCAACAACAGAACAATACAGAAAATAAGAAGCCATGCCATATTTTGTATTTTTACATTCTGGTATTGACAGAAAAGGAAACTAAGTTATAATTCGCTTAGCATCTAAGAACAATTTAACAATAATCATAAATGTAACCGAATACACAATCCGGAGACAAATAAAATATGGATACAGATGTACAAAACTCAGAATATGAGACCTATATAACGGCAATTTTTTTAATGCACCAAGGTGCATTTTCTTTAAGAAAAGTAATAATATAATTTAATTAATTCATATTTAAAAAATTCCTCATATTATAAAAAAAAACAGTATTTTGTTACTTAGACTTCTCAGATTGAAGCATATTCCCTGTTTGATTTTGTTGCTTTTTCCAATGAAAAATATGCATAATTATTGAAAAATAAATGCTATTTATTCTACCAGGTTATGCATTAAAATATTTTATCTTTCAATTGCATTTTAAATGTATTAACTATTTTTTCTAATGTTTTTTAATTAGGCAATTGATGAAAATCGAATGCTTCGCATTACTTCCCGCCTGAATAGAATTGTGGTTATATTAAAGGTAAGTCAACATAGTACTTGCAACTATTGATATGCGAAGTCTATATGTCAAAAGCAATAATTCTATATAAGATAAATAAATTTTAATTGCAACTTCCTTTCCCCCCCCTTTTTTTTTTCTTTTTTAAATTTTTAACCCAAAGCGCGTTAGCCCAGAAGGGCTATTAACTTCGTTTTGGGCATTTTGCGTCGAAAACTTTAAAAGTCTATCACTTTTCAAATTGTTGTCACCAAATATTATCACCCTGTGTTATACTTAAAGAAATTAACTAACAAAGAATCTGCATACATGTATGTATGTTTCTCGCATCGTGATAAAACAGCGGTACTTAGAGCCATCAAATTTTGAATAGCGTAATCTTCCACCGAATATGAGCATAGCCGTAATTTGGAATTTGGAGTTTGTTTTATTACTTATTTCATATTTTGTTAATTATGAGTTTTTACACGAAAAAAAAAAACATTTTTATCTACACCGTGCGAGACTGTCTTTTGAAAATTCTAAAGATATGCTCTTTTTAAATCATTTTGCGATATTGCTCTTGAATTAAATTTTATGGTTTAAGTGCGAAGAGCATGATATTTAATAAATAAAGGTAACACACAAAACGTTAAAAAAATCGCCCCTTTGGGCGTGATATAAATTCTGAAAGCTTTCAGATTTTTTTTTTTTTTAAGAATTATTTTATTTTAATTTGTACAGTTATTTTTTATCCTAAATTACTGCTGTTATCACATAAAAGGCGGTATTTATATTCAATTACGGAAGTCTGCGACGTGAAACTCTGGAAAAATTCATATTTTTCTTTCCTAGTCTGCTGAGATTAAATTGTCCTAGTCTGGTTGATAATGTAAATGAACTTTATGACTGTTCTACTTTTAACTATGTCTTTCTGTCTGCCTATTTTACGATGTGAAATGATTTTATACTTGATTATTATGAGTATCTGTGCTTTTGAAACATATATCTTTCTTCGATGCATAAACAGTTCATTTCATTTCATGTCAGTTTTAATGATATTTGAATAGATTATAGCTGAAATTCTGTATTTAATTTTCGGAGTAAGATTCAATTACCATCTATGTGAGAATAAAGATATTAATTAATTAATTAATTAATTAATTTTAAACTTACAAAAACATGAAACTGAAGGTTTTGTTTGTAATTTCACTTGGTACAGTTTAACGCAAACTGATATTAGTTCGTATACAATTTTTGCTTACAATTCAAAATTTCATTTCGGAAACATATTGAATTCATTTTCAATTATTATACATTATTCGTATTACATATATTAGAATTACGCAAATAAATTGTAAAAATCCAAAACATGTTGTAAATTCTTTAGAAGGTGAGTCCTGCAAATTTTTAATAGTTTTATCTTGAATTGGATTTTTCAGCAGTTTCTTAATTTTAAGAGGAAATATTTTAATTTAATTTTAATTTACATGCATTAAATGTTTTGCTCATTTTAAGCTGCTCTTTTTTAAATAAATTGTCTACAGGATTTCTAATATTGAAAGAAATATTTGAAAAAGTTACCACAACCGATGTCAAAAGCAAAAAATAATATAAAAAGCATGAACTTTTTTCACTTTTAAATTAATTAAAAATTTTGTGAATTATATTTTATAAAATCTTAAAGGTAAGAGAGAATTTTTCTACACTCAAAAAGGAAAATATTAATACAAATACATCAGTGATCCGGCAGTTAGGTGAAAAATTGAATCCTTTCTCATTAAAGTAGCCACCATATAAGCTTTAGGGAACTTTGCTGACAACTGAAATTTGTGCGTTGCAGATTGAGTGATTAAGTTTGCCAATTATGGTGACCAAGTAAAGTGATAGCTTTCACAAGAAAATTTTAAAAAATCTGCATTCTAGAAATTTAAAATAAAAAATGTTAATAAATAAAATTTGAAATTGTTGAAAAATTCAGATGTAAAATGCTGGTATTGCGTATTAGATGGCACCCGCCGATATTGCCGATAAACTAATTGGCGCTTTTTGGCAATGAAAGATAATTTCAACGCCAACAGATAGATGAGAGATTTTTTTCCTATCTCCGGAATTGAAAATTCTTAGGATTGATCCATCCATCAAAGCGTGCTAACAAGTTTTTATGATATTTTCTTGGAATTGTCAAATTTAATGCATTGCAGGAAATATGTTAATTTATTCAAAAAATTATTTTGTCTATTTAAAAAAGTTTCATCTGAAAGCATGTATTAATATAATAACCTAAAATGTCTTATTCTTTTACCTTCTAGCTCCTAGTTGACCAAATAGTCATTTTAGAAACCATGGCACCCTTGGACTTCATGGAGTTCAGGTAAGTAAAATTTCAATTTCCTTACATCATAATAGCATTATCTTAGTCAGAATTGCCTAATACAACAAGTAATTGTAAAGATGCACTGTAAAATTCTGTTTCAATTATAAATGCACGGATAGAAAGTGAAATGTATTAAATTTATCATTTAGACATCGCATATCTCAAATGATTTGGGACAGAAATACAAATACTGCATTCTGGTATAGGAATATGCCATTTTATTGTTAATGCAGTCGAATAGCAAACAGCCCGTAGTTCTTCGAAAGTAGTGTATAAAGAGTTTGACAGTTATCGGTCTCAAATATATATATATATATTTTTTTTTATAATTGCTTTCTTATATGATCATTTAACATCGAAATAAACCTGGTCGCGGAATGTTTTCTTCAAAACCGCTGATGAATAGAATGAATTGCAGATAACTCACATATTTTACAATCCATAACTGTGTTCCTTGGAAATGTGATCTTATGCAGAATTCTTATAAATGGCTGATAAATAATAGGGTTATGTTCAAAGTCATTATTTCAAGTAGCCTATGAAAATATGAATTTCGGGAACGACGCTTAATGCTGTGATTCGGTTGCAGAATCATTAGAATTTATCGGAGCCAGGAAATTGAAGAAATCCTCAGTGTCCTTGCCGGAATGCGACCTTCGGACTTCCCGAATGCGCGTCGAGAGTGCAGTTACAAAAGTATGCGGAAAGACGGGAGAATATACCTTATGAACTCTCCCCTTTATAGGGCGAATAGGGATTAGGCTACTCAATCGCCAAATCCTAGTAGTGACAAATTATCGTCCACCACCTTTTAGTTCGGAAAAAAATTGAAGAGTCATTAGGCTATATCCATGCAGAACGGGAAAATGTGCAGTTATCTTGCCGAGTATCGAACTCCATACCCCCCCCCCCCGAATACGCGTCCATCATGCTTCCAGTTACACCACCAAGGCATGCGGAAAGCAGCAAAAAAGTACTGTATATAACTGCTGATAAAGGCTCTCTATGTAGAACCTTTTTATACCAAGAAAACGAATGGCGCAGAAGTAGAATTAGGTTCGATAAGATTCGATTCGATTCGATAAGATTAGATTCGATTAGAGTATACGGTTTTGCTTATAAGCATAACTCTTTATTGAAAATGTCGGTCATTGATGAAACATATAGAGAGTGATTCAAAGACTCCATGAATAAAGCTAGTTCAACCAAATATAGTTATTTCATGACTAAATATAGTTAAATATAGTTACAATATTCCAAAGTCGTGAAAGGAAGCTCATATAATTTCTTACATTCTCCCTTTCTTAAAGGGTAGAGACTCTAGAGACCGTTAGGTTTTTCGAAGCCAAAGAACATGAAAAACTGTGCCTTAACCAGGGTTCGATTGCCAATTGGCATGCTAAGCGCTTACACCACAGCAGCACGTACGGAGACTGCGACAATCCCTTACGATATGACAAAAATTACTTCAGCCTTATCAAAGATTGATAGCCTTACCAAAATTTGTTGGATTACAGTACATGTATGGTCAGAAATAATGACATTATGTTAAGTTTTACTATGCAAATCCCTGAAATATACTTTTGGCATTAGACTAGCACTTATACAAGAGAAGAATATTTAAGTTTCCATTTGTAGAACAGCTAAAATTAAAAATTTGTGTTTCATAAAATTAAACATTATTTGCGTTGAGTGAAAATGGCTGAAATCAAATAATTTTTACAGTCTTTTCCGAGGCTAGTTTCAGTATTAAGCGTTCTTTCTCTCTTCCTCGGTACGAATCTGTAAAAAACATTCAGGTAGCCAACTAAAGATTTATTTCTGTCTCATCAAAAGACATAACTAACAAGAGGTATTCCTTTGTAAAGTAGGAAATAACTATTGGGTTGGCAACTAAGTAATTGCTGATTTTTTTTAGAAAATCAAAGACAATTTTTTCATGGAACTAAATAACTTTATTCTGTAATGTATTGCCCATTTTGATCAATGACCTTTTGCCATCTTTCAGGCAGCATCATAATCCCACGTTCATAAAACTTCTGGTTTTTATTAGCAAAAATCTGAATCAGGTACTATTTGATATCATCATCATTATTGAAATTTTCACCATTCAAGGAGTTTTGTAAAGATCGAAATAAAAAGTAATCAGATGGTGCAAGGTCAGGACTATATGGTGGATGTGGCATAACATCCCAACCAAGCTCCAATATTTTTTGCCTAATGATCAAAGATGTGTGTGCGACCTTGTATTGTCATGATAGAATACAATACCTTTCCGATTTGTCAATTCGGGCCACTTTTCTTCAACTGCATTGTTTAATTTCGTTAGTTGTTCAATGTAGACATCAGAATTGATCATTCGGTTGGGTGGTAAGAGTTCAAAGTAGACAATTCCTTTGTAATCCCAACCAAACTGATAATAAAACCTTCTTTTGATGAATATCATCTTTTGATGTTGTTTGAGTTGGTTCACCTGGCCTGCTCCACTATCTTTTCCGCTTGATATTGTTGTAAATAACCCATTTTTTATCGCCAGTTTTCAGTCGTTTTAAAAATGGATCATTTTCATCACGTTTCTTTAGCAAATCCCAGCTGTTAATGTGTTGCGTTAAATGTGTTTCTTTCAGTTCGTGAGGAACACATGTATCGAATTTTTGAACATAGTCGAGTTGTTTTAAGTGATTTTCAATGCATGTATGTGATACATGAAGCTTCTCTGCAATCTCACGTGTTGTACTGTGACGATCCGAATCGATTATTGCTTTGATTAGGTCGTCATCGTCTTCAATTGGACGACCAGAGCGTTTTTCACCTTTGAGTGAAGAATCACCAGAACGAAATTTGGCACACCAATTTTGACAGTGCCGTTCTTTTAAGGCTTCGTCACCATAAACAGCACATAACTTTTTATAAGCTTGCGATGCGTTTTTCCCTTTGCGGAAATAAAAAAGCAAAATATGACTAAAATGTTCCTTTTGATTTTCCATTTTTCAACGAACGCCAAACGAAAAACTACGCAACCGATCAAAAAACCCTTTTTACTGATTGACAGCTGAATTGCCAACTATCAAATAACAAAAATGTGTTTTACATTTGTACTACGTCTGCAACCCTAAAAATTCAACGGAAGCCATCTATGAGTGCAATCCGCAATTACTTAGTTGCCAACCCAATACATTGATGGATTATATTCATGGATCCTCGAGTCTCATTATTGCGCTCCTATTCTACTTTCCTCAGTTCCGCCCCCAATTTTGATGGACAGCGCTCAGGGGGGATGTGTCCGAGGGTCTTTCATCCCCTCTTCCCCTACCACCAATCTCTTGAGAGGACATAGGTGCCCCTAATTGCACGCATTTCTATATAAAATGTTAGTTTTATACATAAATTTTATTACATGTATTTAATACAAATGTGGGAAGATTATTAATAAGCATTCGCTTTATCTTAATCTTCCCAACATCTGCATTTGAATCTATCATTTTAAATCTAAATTCGTGTAAAGAAAAACTCCCAGAATATGTGGCCATTTGTATGATAGCTCTGTATGTGCATAATCGTTTTCGGGAAAATTTGTATACGATTTCATTTATATGTATCTCTGTTCCCTTATTTACCCATTCATCTTATCTTTCCTTAACTATTTCTTATTTCTGTTTCTTTATTATACAGAATTTTTTTTTTGTAATATGCATTAAATATTCATTGGCATTTTCTGCTGACTGCTTTTGCCATTTAACTTGTGGCATAAATTCTGATTATTTTGATGTGAAATAATCTTATTTTCAGAAATTTTTAGAGAGTATTTATGAGTTCTTAATACGTGCAATAACATTTGTCTGTTTATTTAGCTAAATGAGCCAATGAAGGTAGCCTAATAATATCAGTTACAAAACCCAAATATCTTATATTTTACGATAGTTTATAATTTCTTCATTTGTTTTTTTTCTTTATTTGACTTTCTGTTATTTGTCTATGAATCATTGTAAAATTTCTTTCTTTTTTATTTTTAAGACGGCCATATGCCTTTTTTTTAAGAAATCCATTACACGATTCTTCCCTGTACTGAACTCTCTTTTCTGTTTTAAATTCCATGTCTTTATTTTATCTACACAAATCTTTTTGCGATTTATAAGTCTTAGCTAAAGTCGTGTTTCCTACGTAATATCTGATTTTAAGTTCCCCAATGTTGGACTTAAATTAATTTCGATCTTGGATGCTCCTGTCTGCTAAATTTAATTTACCCAAATTCTACTCCTAGTACATTCAATCTTATGCTCAGAGTAATTATATTTTACTAAATTAATGTGGCGGTCTATATCAATGAAGTTAACAAAATTTCCGAAAAGTCATAAACGCGAATATCAAGTCATGTGTACTGAAGCTTCTGTTTATTCTCCTTTACAGTAACCAGGTCCAGTAACAGATTTATCAGATAAGAAAACGCGAATCATAGACATTTTGATAGGGTATTAGTCTTTCAGAAATATTTTAACCATTCTTTAATTATTTTACCTAAGATTTTTCTCATGAAGGAACTACATGCTGGGAGATCACTTCGAATTTCGCAAACAGAATCAGCTTTGCTTTTTTTCGGGAATTTGTAAATTACCAAAGCCATGGAATACTTAAATAATAATCCATCCAACAAAAAAATCGTCATTAGATAAAAAAGGATCTGCCAAACACATGTAAAGTCATTAGATTTATCTGTAGAGTCATTAGGATATTTTTGAAAGCAGGACAGATGAAACATGAGCAACGCTTTCACCAGGACACGAACCACGGCCTCTCGAATACGCGCCGAGCGTGCTGACTACTACATTACGAAGGCATGCTAAGAAGGCGGGAGAAATACCTTATATACTCCCCCTTTTAAAGAGCGACTGGGGATTATGGGACCCAATCGCCAAATCCTGGTGGGGAGAATCATCTTCCACCACCCTTTTGGTTCGGACGCCACTGTAGAGGCATTAAGATATTTTTGAAAGTAGGAG